TATTTCTGATAGCAATAAAATAAAATCTTTCATAAAAATAGCTAATCGTACTTTACTGTGTCGATTCGTACACATAAAAAAACATAGATGCTACTCAAACTTGGTATCTATTTCTAATTCTATTTTAACTAAAGTGTATTTGCTGCCTTCTATGAATTTTCTTATCAATGACAATGCTAACAATAATCAGTGTAACAATTTCCTAATTACTCAGTTATAATAGAAATAGACATACCGCATAAATTTTTAATTAACTGGAATTTTTGAATTCGATGATTGTTGAAATCACTCACAAATATGTTCCCAATTGTGTCGAAAGCCATTGTTTGTGGATAATTCAATTGACTTGATGCTTTTCCACTATCACCAGAACATCCAACCAAGCATTTGAATCCATTTGGAATTGATCGGATGATTCGATGATTTTGACTTTCCACAATATATAGGTAACCGTCGACATCGAGCGCAATATCTGTTGGCCTATTGAGTATGAAGCGAACCTTTGCTCCGAAACCGGCAATTGTTTTAGCATCTTTTTTTCCAGGTGCAAAAAGTTGAATTCTGTTATTATGAGTATCAGCTACATATAAGTTGAGTTTATTATCGATGAAAATTCCATGCGGATGATCAAGCATATTTGGCACAGGACCACGACATCCTGTGCCAGCCACTACCATCGGTACAGTTTGCCCATTGTTAAGTGGTATCTTAATCACATGATGATTATTAGTCGAAGAACAATATAAATGGTAATTGATGTCGACGAAAAGTCCTGTACACCAGCCATGGACATTCATGACAATCTCATTTTGCGTTGCGTTGAATGTCCATTTATTGACGTGACCATTCTCATTACCATTGTCAGCATAAATGTCACCATCGGTTGTGACAAAAATACTCCATATATTAGTCGAATTCGTCGAAATAATTGGTGTCGGAGTCGATGATCCATTAGTCCATACTAAAATCTGACCATTTTCACGATTAGCAACGTAGACGGCG